CATTTCAACTTTTGCTCTCGAATGCATAATTGTAATGTGTAACTCGCAATTAAGGCTTTCAATTGATCGACTGATCACTTTGAGGAATATTTCGAGGCTGAAAATTACTAGCTAATCCAAATTTAACTACGTTGAAGTTGGACTGGCTCACTGGTAAGACTACGAAGAGTTTCTCCTATAAATACGCTCTCATGGTATTCTTGATATGTTGTGATACAAGTGTAGTCATATTTTCAGAAAACACTGTAACAACGGCCAATCTAGGTACTCTCCCGGATGCTTCAAAACCATCTGATCAATCGTCGAAATCCACCGATGACAGGTAGGCTTATAAGTGGCACTAAATTAATGGCTGTCAGGTTGTCATCAACCAACAGGGCATAGAACATGAAGACATCGCTAATTCAGATTTATTAAATATTTAATTTTCCGATTGAGTTTAACTGATGTGCTTGACTGCTTTTGATCACAATATGAAGTCTAATCGGTTCAGTGCATGTGCGCATTCCATGAATTTTTTCAAATTACAGTTCCAAAAAAGATGGCTCCACCAGCGGTGCCAAAGCCCAAGTGCGTGGTAAAGTTCTTGAGCTTACAATCGGAGTTTAGCTGCGGATTAAAGNTTAAAGTGGGCTTATTGGTGGTGTGAAAATGGGCATAGGAAATCCATGAGGAGTTCTGTCAAATTTTCGTATTATCAATAGTGGTTTTTTTCTTCGAATGAATATGATCTAATAATGTCAAATAAATTCTTCTTGTTGCAAATGAATGAAGGATTCGTTGGAAAACGAATCTTATTTCATGCTTTCACATTCTTTGGAATATATTCTCGTAGAATACAGTCGGAAATCACAGTCTGGCAGATGCGTTGATGTTGTTTCGTTCATTTTGTCTTCAATCAAATATTGCTTTGATGGATCTGAAACCGAAAGACTTCTTGTACTACACTTGAGTTTTACTGTGTGCAATGGTTAGTTGACTGTCATGCTGTTGCTTCCAACGCCACATTCTTATTCTTGCCGAACCAACAGCCAGCGTCTTCCAGTCATTAAGATTCACTCGCAAGATCGGATCGAAATTTATTAAGCATTTCATGGTATACAATCTACACATTACATCTTATGTTAGCAATAAGCAAACAACAAATAAAATAGGCGAAATTCGCAATTAAGAAACTCGAATTTCTGCTATAAAAGTTTTGAAAATCTTCACAGAAACAATAAAATATTTGACCACAACTGTAGGAGATCACAGAGAGGGCACAGAAACGTTTGGCTGCCATCAAAAGTTGACGAGTAGGGACAACACTCTCTTGGAATAGTCTGCTCAGGTTAGCTCTCATAGAGTTTGATGCTGATCGAGAGTATTGAATCCATATCTATACAGCCGGCAAGGAGACGTGTGCTCCAGGGGATGTTTCAACGAGAGTGAGAAGGGAATTCGAAAGAATCACTCGGGCAACTCAAGATTATTCTTCAGTTTGCGGTTGCTCCTCTTTTTGTTCATCTGGTTGGAACTGAAGATGAACTTCGGGTTGTGGTAGGTGTTCGAATGCGTTCTGCGCTACTTGCGCATAGCCAGGCTCTTGTTCGGCAATCGCAGCCAACGGATTATTGAAACCTTCGAATTGTGACATCGGCTCAACGAATATAGTGCCATTGACGAGCTCGATTATGCGTATACAAAGCATAATCGTGACGAAATGAGCGCCCAATGCAGCCAACTCGACAGCGTTATGAAGACGCCAAGAGAAATTCGATGCTTCACCTAAAAATCGAAGGAAATCTCGAAAATCGCACTTTGATACATCACGATCATAAATAATTTCTTAGCGACATACAGTAACCCAAACAGATTGGGCATGAATAGCAAATAGAATTAGCGATAGAAATGTTTGGCTCTAGAAGAGTTTCTGCAATCCAAAAGATGAAATCTTCGATGTTAATTGTTTTGGATCACAGTTGACGACTTAATCTGGCAAAAAAACTTTGGAAATTTTGATTTGATCAGTCATATAAGTCATTGCGCTGAACTGGATTAGAAATTGAAATTGTTAGGGAATTATACCAATATTTCGATAGTCAAGCTGAGTTAAAACCTCCACAAATCGAACCGCATTCACCATCACCAATGAAACACAACTCAACGGATGATGTAATAGTGTCCAGCTAATAGCTATCTTAAAATTCCGATGACCTCGTTATTTAATAGCATTATTGTATTGATCATTATTGCAATCATTATTTTCATATTCAT